CCCTAAGTTTTTGTGAGAAAGTGAGACATCGTAGCCCACCCATCCAGTCTCTTCAGTCAGCATTTCTGAGTAAGACACAGCAGTCAGAGGTCAAGCTCGAACAGACCATGTTACTCTCATGGAGGATAAACGACCACTGAACCAAATGGTTCTGCAATATTCGTCATGGTTTGAGCTTTAGAAGAGAGTTGCTCGGTGTCTACGATTTAAGAAAAATTCCTTAAAGCAAGAGGTGCTTGTGGAAGGCTGTCGATAGACGAATTACGACATGCACAGGCTCAAATCCTCGCATACGTGCAAAAATTAGCTTTCTCGCCAGTGTTTAAAGTCCTCCCAGACTTGAGCCCAGGAGAATCTGAGAAGTGTAAATTGAAGATTATTAGCTCACTTGGTTCAGTGTACAAATTCAGACCATTTCTGGATGGAGCAGGAATATTGAGAGTTGGTGGTCGGCTTCAAAATTCTTCATCAGATTACCAATCGAGACATCAATTGCTGTTACCTTCAAAGCACCATGTTACCAAGCTGCTCATTATGGATGTTCATCAGTCTGTGGGTCATCTAGGTGAAGAATATGTCCTGACCAGTTTGAGACAAAAGTACTGGATCTTCAAGGGACGGCTGCTCTTTGAAGAGTACTCAGTAACTATTTGACTTGCCAAAAACAAAATGCTGCGAAGGGCCAACAATTGATGTTAGATTTACCTGACAACAGGCTTATTCGAGATAAACCCCCGTTTTCTAACGTTGGAATAGAATTATTTGGCCTACTGTATGTGAGGCAAGGCAAAAGTTATGATGTCTTTTCTCTTGCTTAACTATTCGAGCAATCCATATTGAAGTGACCGAGTCTCTCGAAACAGAATCGTCTATTCGCGCTCTTTGCAGATTCATCAGCAGAAGAGGGACGCCAAAGATGATAATAGGTAATAATGGTATGAACTTAAGTAGCGGAGAGAGAGAAATCGGTGAAGCCCTAAACAACTGGAATCAGCAGGAGATGACACTTTGGGTGCTTGTTTAGTGATAGTGTTGGCAATGATAATAATTATAATGACGATAGGAGTTATAAAAATATCAATGATAATAATGCTGGTGACATTGATATGAGTAACAATAAACGGTTTAGGAAGTATAGTCTATCTTACCCAGAACCTTTATAAAAAAAATTATTTGAGCTAACGTATTGTTATTATCATGTGGTTTGAGGTTGGTATGATGATTACATAAAATTAAGAATTGCTTGTCGATTATTTTAAGTCGTATTTTGTTTTTCCTCAGTTCAAACAGTTTCAAGTACAGTTGCCACCTCATCCCAAACAACCCCTGCAGGTAACTGTTTTTTATAGGCTTTTTTTTTTTACCACCATATAAAACTATGTCATCAGCGACTCAAAAGATCTTTATGAGGAAAAGGCTGTACCTTCCACAATAGAAGGAGTAAGAACAAGCATAATTATAGATGTATAAAAGTATTCTTTTTATTTCTCTCAAGACTCCTTCCAATATTTTGAGGCATATTATGCTGGCCATCTTCAAACACAAATAACTTAATTCATGGGCTTTGCAAAACTATTTTTCGAGTGGGGTAGGGGTGGGTAAATGAACCATAGTATTCGTTTAAAAAAATATAATTCAATCCCTCTGTGGACCTACTTACACATGTTACAAGTTTCTTTATCAAACATTAAAACATTGTAAACAAGGCTAACCGTAACATGTTCATGCTCTTACGTGCATTAAAACATAAGTTTTTAGAGTCTCGAGCTTAGTAGCACGCTGTCAGAACGATGTCTGCAGGGATTATTGAACAGTGTTCAAGCTGAATTATTGTTTGATGGAACCACTTCTCAGCAGTTTTTGTGAATCAAGGCTGTTCATGTTTTTCGTAAATGTAAAAGGATACGGCTTTTCTTTAGCTTCAGAAAGCACAGAAGTTTACCTGACAGCTACAATACAGGGGAACTGTAGCAGACGTTCAGAAGTTGCTGCGAAATTTCCAGTAATGGTTAGATAATCTATTTGATCCATATACCCGCGTGTATAGAATACTGCCATAAGATTTATCATTACAATCAAAAGGGAATTTTAATCAGTCTACTCTTGAACGAAATCTCAATATTTCTGTTAAAACAAAATGACATTTTGAACGATCTTTAATTATGAAAAAAGTATTCGAATTTACATTTTTTCTTTAAATGTCCTTTTAGGCTTGTCAAATTGCCTCTAAGTTTGGCTGCTCATCCGCCAACACCGTGAACACCAGGTAAGGTGCAGTTTGTCTCAACACTGAAACAACAAACGCCAACGCAGATCTGTGTTCTGCTGCTGGAATGAGATTTATCTCAGTTTGGCGTATTTTAGTGTTAAAACTGGTGTTTCTGCTCTAAAAAAATCTTATTTAATGCAAAATAATCTACATTTGAAGTACATTTTATTTAATGTACAACAATGGATTGACACAGAATGACATGAATTAATTTTATTTACCTTGGTTAATTAGATTTAAAATACTCTTTTGGTTAAATCTCAATGTATTTCAAAACTTAAAAGTCACCAAAGTACGAATGGAATGCCGAATAGAGCACCGTGCCCTGAAGAGCTCGATGCATAAATTATGATTGATTATGCAATTGAAGCCGTGTAGGTACTCAATTTTTGTCACGCGAGGTACGCCTTCGTCGAATTGCTGTAAACGCTGTCCTTTCGGTAACATACTTTGTTTGGCGCTGAATTCTTTCTAATCTTTAGGCTACTCATTTATAAAAAGTCAAAACAGACCACGAGACGCCTATATCCCCAAGTGTAATGTTGCGTAAATTAAGTACCGCGGGTCTCTTAATTCATAACCTGTTTAACTATTATTATTATTATTATTATTATTATTACTCAAGTAACGTTTTTTAAATTAAGGTAGCGACAATTTTTTCACAGAACAAAGACAACAACAAGGTCCTATAATGAAAATGTTGCTTATTGTAACAAATGGCTTTGCACTGTAATCGTAATAAGCTTTCAAGGGAGAGATAAAACGAATATTAGGAAGAGGTAATGTAGTTCTATTCTCCAAAGTTGACAAATGTTTGAATAGGTGAAGAATGTAAAAGCGGATGAAGAAACTACTTGCAAACCTAAATGAACTCTTCCCACGATTTATTTTTGTTTAATACAGACTGTATAATCAGTCATAACTTATGTGTCTTGCTCTTTTCGGCACGGTGTTCGATTCGGCATTTTACATCCTTCCCCTCTTACCTAGGTGTGGCAGTGTTGTTCTCGACTTCATGATGAGGTTCAATCGAAGTGTAGTTGTCAGCAATGTTTTGACTGTCCTGTTTGATGCTGCAATGGAAGACAAATTCGGAGGTTTTAAAGTCGATCCAGAATCAATTAAACAAGTTTTTATACCCACAGACGGCTCGGAAAGCACAACAAAAGGTAAATTTTACAAAGAAATATTATTATTAAATGTTTACACGAATTCGTCCGAAGAAGTACTTTTTCAAATTGTATTCAGTATCTGTTTAATCAAACAACTCAATTCTGTGAGTCATATATTTCCAAGTTTTTTTTTTTTTTGTCGCTGTTGTTGTTTTTATTTAGTTAAACAAAATCTTACTTTTAAAAATTTTTATAGGGAGAGTAGCATCTTGTTTTTACTTAGTACCTAGCAAATAAGAGTTAACGGTTTTCGTTTAGGAGCGTAAGCTATGTAGTAAGGGCAGTGTATTGACCACGATCACTGTAAATGTTGTTTGAATGTTACCTGATCAAGCTTTGTAAACTGAATCATTTTAGGTCCTGAGGAATGTAACTTTCTCAATTGTAGGACTTATGAAGAAGAAAGAGGTGTTTCCTACGTAAGTTACAGCTAAGACATTGTGGTCATGTTAGTGTGGCCAGTAATTATGTAATCTCACTTTACCTCTACTCTCTAGAAGGAAATAAACGCTTGCAACAAATAGGAAGGAAAAAAGGTGTAGTTCTACCAAAAAGGCATAATGCATTAATGACATGCACAATAAAATATGGGAGAAGTTTGACTCGATAGGATCTTTGTCCTGGGATCAT